TTATTAAAGGATATATTTTTTATTTTAAATACACATATATATATATATATTTTTTAGGGATTCTTTAAAGATAAATTCCTTATTTGATGGCAAAATCTGTTCTAGAATTATTAAATATTTAATTATTTAAGATCGGCAATCTAGAAATTAATAGAAATAAGTTGAATGTATGTATGTGCGTGTATTTAATGATAAATGCAAATAGCAACGTTAAAATATAAAGAATTATTGCGACCTTCATAAGCACTACTGAGGCGGTCTAATCATAAAAAGGTTCACCCCACCTATGCTATATATCATACTTAAATGTTTGTTCAACGTTTTATAACTTTTTCCAATTTCTAAATTTTTTAGATGAAGTACATCTATCAAATATTTGTTATAAAATCGTAATTCTTGTACTATTTTATGTATGTAAGAGTATTTCTATATATACATATATAAGGTATTATAACTGACGTAGCAGGGTGACCACGTGACAATTTGTAATGTTTTTGATTAGGAACTTTTACAAGTCTATTGGATGGGAACATTATTTATGTAAACGGGAGCGCAGGTGCCTTGTAGCGTCAAAGTGATGTATTGTGATTTATCGTTGTTGAGTTTGATTCGACATTTTATAAATCTGTTTTCGTTAAAAGAAACGTTGGAGAATTAGTAAATCGTGAATTATTTCTTATTATTTAACATTTCAGCTTGGATTTGTCTCATTGCTTTAGTGTATGTGGGTAGTGAGCTGTCATTTCATTTTGTATTTCCTGAGATCAGTCGATTTTTATACATGAGTTCTATCGTTTCTTTTTTTTTTTTTTTTTTGAGTAATAAATGATAGTTGATGAAGCATTTAATATATGAATACCAGAAGTTTTAAAAAAACCTGTACCACTACAACCCATGAAGGGTCTGGGGTTCAGTACTATTTAGGGAAAGCACTGTTTCTAGGTCAACGGCTGTGCCAGAAGTTTTAGGAAACCACCATCTCTTCTTTAATAAGTGCTACACAACCATGTATTATGCTAAGTCTATGCCAACCACTGCTCCTTCTATATTATTGTGATATTTATTGTTATGAAAAATACCATGTAATCGTCGTACAGCAACACTATTTCTATACAGTATTGAATTTCGATTAAAAAAACTATGAATTAATATTCTTGAGACACCCACTGCACGAATCGATACAACATATAAAACACTTAAATATAAACTACCAAAAAAACAACAACAAAGATTTTGGAAACATTTAATTTAGATCGCCAGATAGAATTTTGTTATAAACAAAACAAAATGATTTAGGTAAAATCAATGGATAACCTTTAATATGCTTTAGTTTTGCTAATACTGTTCTTTGCCTTTTTTTTTTTTTTATTTTTTTTAATTTTTAGGAAATTTTATAAATTTCCGAAAGATTATATATTAAATTTACTGTGCAATGTATTTTCTGTCCTTCATAACTTTTTTTCCTTGGTTTACTCGAAAATGTATAGGACGTATAAAAAGTCCAGTGCGTTCGTCCAAGTCGCATAGAATTGGAGGTTAGAATAGATTTTGGTTAGATAGTGGGTAACAGACGTACAATAAATAATAAGTAATCTACACAATACAATAGATGACTCTAAAACGGGAATATTCATTGAAAACCGCACATCCATTACAATGTGCTTTCCTTGCCTTATTGAATAATTAAAATAACAATTATAATAATAAAATTATTACCTCAATAATAATTATTATTATATAATTAAATAATTCTTAGTAATAATAATTATTATTACAATTATAATAATAAAATTATTATCCTATCCTAATGTTTTATTCTGGTTCTATCAATCATTGTCCTCGTATATCGATCCATTCTCTTTCACAAAAACTCAAATAAGCAAAATCAGTCTCAATATTATTTTCTCATCTATAATCTTTTTATTCCATGAACGTTTACCTGTTAGTTCGGAAAAAAATATCCCCACTAACTTCTCATGTGCATTGAAATGACCAATGCAATTCGACGTTGTTCAACTTTGGACTGGATTGGACTCTTCTATTCCTCGGACTTATATTCCATGCAATACATTTTTTTTTTTTAACTAACAAAACCTACTGAATTCCACCTGCTACCAGTTGACTAATACCAACAATTTTATACTAACTTCAACGGACAAACTAACATAAAAATAAGAGATATAGCTTTAGCTGACATGCCCATCAATTCTAGGAGGAGACTAAAAAGTGTGGTGCATGAGAGACTTCATCCAATACAAATCATGATAATTGAATCAAGCGAGGGAAGAGGTGCTGATGGGTGCTATCCTTCCACATGCCTTACATATCGTTTTATTATTTTTATCAGACCATGCTGATTGTAAGTGTGGTTACGTTTCATATGTGGGCGGGGTAGCCGAAAGGGCTAACGCGTGTGCACTGCACCGCCGTTGCCCGGCAACCTGATACGTAATACTTTGGCTAAAATAAAAATAGTTACGAGTTCGCTTCCCGGTGCCCGGAGGAGTTTTTAAATCCCCGCCCAAACTCTCTGGCCCGGGAAAACCCCCGTATAGCCTTAAAGGCGAGGAAGGGGAGGACAAAAAAAAAAAAAAAAGACTACGTTTCATATTTGTAAGGAACAATAGCATTCAAAAATGACTATTCGAGAAGTAAGCGTTTCCAATCATAAATAAATAAAAATAACTAATAATAACTTATTTTTGGAAGAAACTACTTATTTTTTTACCAAGACGAAATCAATCCATTACTTTATTTTATATTCAGTAGGATAATATTCATGGAATGGCATCGCCAAAGAATATCCATAGGTAAGAGACTGAGTTTCTGAAGTAATCCTCGGCTTAAAGGGATGAGAAGGGCAGTGAGACAGTCCAGCCCTAGTTTAAGAGCCTAGAAGCCAAAGCCTGGATAATTAAACCAGAGGAGTAGCCTCATGGCCCTACGGGAGTGGGCTATACCATTATCATAGAAGTTGCCCTTTTACAGGCCCTATTTTCCACCATCTCTTCTTTAATAAGTGCTACACAACCATGTATTATGCTAAGTCTATGCCAACCACTGCTCCTTCTTGAATATTCAATTTCCTATACCATAGTCCAAGTACCGTCTTTTGCAAAGTATTACAGAAGTATAAGGAAAATTTTTCTTTTACGAGGATTAATCATATTAGTGATATCGATGGTAGAAAAAAATAAATAAATAAAATAAAATATAATATATATATATATATATATATATATATATATATATGGGGGCTGGGGTAGCCATGCGGGCTACCCCAAGGCGCCTAAGGCGCTTGTAATAGGTAATCAAAGTTAAGCAACGCCCGAGCGTGGTTAGCACTTCAATGAGTGACCGCCCATACCAAGGAAAGTCAAGCTGCCCGAAATCCCCCCTCGGATATGCGAGGCCCGTCAGCCTACTGGAGGAAACTCACAACGACCGGGCGTAGGATTGATGACTCTACCCCGTACTTTGAATCGGGAAGTGGTCTAGGAGACCACATCCCGCGGTCAAAGAAAGATCTTCATGATCTGTAGCACCAAGAGAGAAAAAAAAAATGTATATATATATATATATATATATATTTACAACTTTTCCTTAATCGACCTTTGAGTATTAAATTTAAACTCTATGTGCTAGTGGACGGTGCTGAGACTGTCGGTGTGTCCCTGGCCTGATGGAAGATCTATTTTTTGAAATTCTAGCTTTGAAGAGGATCCCATGGTTGACTAATAAAAAGAAAATACCGGGATCGAAACGTCAATAAACAGAAGAAATGAACATTCAATAGTTTATTAAATAATAATTAAGTGACCTTATTCCCAATTAAATAGTTAAGTTTAAATATATATATATATATATATATATATATATATATATATATATATATATGTGTGTGTGTGTGTGTGTGTGTGTGTATTTTATCTTTGTGATTTGTTATGATCAATAAGAAATATATCATTAAGATTCGACCTACTTACGAATGAATTAAGGAAGGCAGTTTAAATAAAGAAAAGTTGATTCTTTTTTCTTTGGTTGTTTTATTTATTGTATTATTTTTTTTCCTTTTATTTTCAATTATTCAATTTTAATGCCGCTTTATTTCATTGTCATTTTTTCATTTATTTTGTATGATGCTATATTTTATTGTTATATTGATTTTTTTTTATTCTGATAATTATATTTATATCGTTTGTTTACAAATTTAATTAATATTTAAATTTAATTAATTTCTTAAACCAATATTTTAAATATCTATATATATTCTAAATTGTAGAATACAACATGTACTACATGTAGTGATTGCCTAATTATAATAGGCATGGAGCATGTAATATTTATTTAATAAACTTCTTTTTTCTGTGATATCATAGAAGGAAAATAATAATAATATATATATATATATATATATATATATATATATAGCTTACTAGATATTGTGAAAATTAATCGAGATATAAATTTATATCTAAAAATATAAAAATTTGGTTTGGAGTGTCGTTATTCTCCACATTCCTCAAAAGCTTAGCCAAAAAAAAAAACAACAACTAATAAATACATAAATAAGAATGAAAAATAGTCAGGATATGCAATCATGCATACTGTTTATTAGATTTGTCTACGTTTTGACTCGATCATGTAGACACCATTAGAGCTAAAAATGCAAAAAAAACAGTCTATACGTTCCTTCTTTGATTTTATTTTATTTTCCTGCTTCTATATCATATTTTTGAACTATTCCTTTCCTTTTTTTTTTAAATTTACTTGTTGCATTTTTTAACTATTACGGTTGTAAATTTCAATAAATATATTAGTATTTGTTTTTGTTATCGCCCCAGATAATGACATAAAGAACTACACATTCCGACTATATTTCATAATTATAAATTTAACAGTCAACTATATCTTCATCTCTAAAAATTAATAAACAAAAAATCAATTAAAATAATCAGAATAAATTTTATCCTACAAACCTAACTAAACTAAATAAAAACCCATCTTAACCATATTTGAGCTCCCGCTTCATTTTGACTTGTCATTTATCTTTAGACTTTCTGGATGTTTTATGTAATATCTGTATGTCTTCACTTACCTGAAACAATAAAAAACAACATTGCCTTAATTTTTCACCTTAATTTATTGTATTACATTCTTCATAAATCTAAAGTAAAATTCTATTGATGTTTTTATCTACAGATTTTAAAATATTCATACTTCTGCATATATTTACAAGAAATTTTTGAGTTTTTTTTTCAAAGTTATTAATTTAACTATGATTAACAAAATTTATTTCGTATGATGGCAGAAAAGATACATTTCTTACTCATTACCGTAATTATTAAAAATATTTCATGTAATTTTATCGTAATTTATGATGATTTCATCCATTAAATTGCATAAAAATAATAATAATTGAATAAATAGTCATAGTATGTCAAAAACCACTCTGATTGTAAGTACAATTTTATTATACTGTGCTGTTTTGAGCTACACTAGTCAATGTTGGCGTCGAGCAACTTTGAAAATACAAACCATATATGTTATTCAAACAATCAAATCAGGGTTTTAAGCATAAAATGAAGATTAGATGGAGTTCAAACATAAAATAAAATACGCGGTTTTTTTCGTTTAATGAATAATTTTAATTTTTGCCCTTGTAATTATTTGGAGATATGTTTTATTGTATAACTACTAAAAGTATTTTTCGAATTCTGGATTCTCATTTACTTTAAAATCATCTTGTGTTTTAGATTTCTTTTCAACAATAAAAGTGTAGGGTTTTTAAAAAAAATATGTTTCGTTCTATTTGCCTCCATGTATAACTATAGACAGTTGGATAATTGGGAAATTCACAATAATAACTCAATAAATTTAATTTTTTGAAACATCTAATAGTAAGTTCTAATACTGTATCACTTAAAATTAAAAGTAACTTAACTATCCTAGTAAATTTACTTTTAAAACCTGGAATTTAGGTTCATCTGGTTTCTGACTAACCGATTTGAGAACAGTAGAGAACTAATCTGTTTATAAATAACTTACTCATTAAAGCCAAGCTAGTACAAGCTTACTTGAGCAAGCATGATCAATTTTCTTGTACAAATATGCTTGTGTTTATATAAGATAATTTTGTACGAAATTTCTTGTTTGGTATGCTTATACATGTGTAGCCAGTTCAAGCAGTAGCAAATAGTTTTCAACAAATATAACTTCTGGATATGCTATACATAGCGAAGGTACATATCAGATAACTTCTCAGGTGTATTTTATGTTGTGTTTTTTATATTTTTTAGCCCTGTAGAACAACCACATGATTGGATTGAAATGTCAGCATACTTAATAAATAAAATAAATGACTGCATATTTTGATGATTTTTCATCCTCATTTGTTTTATTAATTTACTAATATATATATAATTTTTTTTTTGGAAAACTTTTGTGAATTGATGAAAATCTTAAATGAAATTCTTGTAGATTGCGCAACACAGGTTGCGCTCCTGTGTGCGTATGTGTTTGTGTGTATGCATGAGAAAATAGAGCTAAAACAAAAATCGTATGAAAGTCGAATTGCATATTTAAGGTTTGTATATACCTGGAATGTTACAGAAACTTTTTCGTAAAAATCGGCTAACCGGAAGTGGCATTTTATATAAACTATTATACTTATTTTTACGATTTATTGATTTTTTTTCATTTGATTCAAGTTTTGATTAAATTCATTGTATCAGTGAGAAATGAAGCAGTTTTTAATATGATATCGATTTTATTCTCATTGATGTTCTTTAACAGGGCTTAAATGGCTAATTTTATATATTGCTCCTTAAACATATACTTAGATTTTAGGTATTCTTTATTTTAAGAGGTCATCTGGTCAGATTTATTGTCAATTGGTTAGACCAATTATTATTCTTTAGGGATCTAGTCCCAGAATAAAGATGATTTTCTATTCTATTCTAAGGTACCTTTAATTTTTTTTATTTGAAATAATTAATCATTTCACAATTAACTAAATAAAATATAGAAGAATTTGATAATTAGCTAAAGGAGAAATAAGATCTCGTAACCGTGACAAAAAGTGACCAGAAGACCGTGAAAAAAAAAGGTGTCATATTTTATACTAAGGTTTGTCCTTAATATATAAACTGACCGTATCCACAGGCCTGATGAGAAAAATGCACGTCTGCCAGCTTATAACCACTGTTATATTATTATATATTATATTGTTTTTTTCGCTATATTCCATAGTTTATGTGATATCAATATAGCAAAAAACCTAATATATACATTTCTATTGCACATTTTAGTAGCTTTAATTTCACATTTGCCATTATTATAAGTAGAACTCATAGTTTCACTGATATAGTCGAAAAACTGAAAAAAGTAAACTTCTTTAATCGTAACTTCAATTTTTCGACATGACATCCATGGGTATGGGGTAACTGACTATTATTTCATGTCTTAAGATTGTAAATACTACAAATTTAAAGGGTTGGTAATTTTATTTATCTATAAGCCCTCTCTATATATACTCTTTCAACCTATGTAGGGTCTCTATCTGTCTTCACATGGCCGCCATTTTGTATTTCAGTGGCTATATCCTGGCAGACGTGCTCTGATGAATGTTTTTCATCAGATCTGATGATATGATCAATTTATAAGGCATAGCTTAGTATGAAATATGATACTTTATTTGCCACGGGCTCTTGGCCTATTAGTAAAGGCTTTCATACGTAACATTAGCTTAATATAATAGCGACCTCGACAATATTATATACATAAACATATGCGGTTTTCATGACTGCTTTAGTTTGTATTATTTAATATTTAATTCTCAAGATTGCAGCGATGTAAAGATTAAAATTTGTTCCGGTACTTAAACAAATAAAAATACCCACAATGATGTATAAATAAATCTTTATCAGTTACACTCTTGTCGGACTAAAAACATTTCGTGACACCTAATTATTTATTATAATCAAGTAAATAAATGAAATATATAGTTTCATAAGGAAATAGCTAGTGTCAAACAAAATAAATATAATACATTACACTATGGTAATTCATTGTTTTAAACAATGTTTCATACCGTTTATAAATTTTATTTTCATCTTCGTTTGTCCGAAAATACTTATTTCTGCTTAGAATAAGTGAAAGTTGTGTGTTGCGCGCACCGCAACAGATTTTATAAATTATTTTGAGATCTGCCGAAAGTATTATGTTGGCGGAGTAAGGGATATATGTTACCCAGATGAAATATGTAGATAAAAAAAAGAGGTGACAACGAACATTGTTTCGCTGGTAAGTGAGGCCATTCTTCTTGAAGAAAGTCATGCTGGCTATCGGCGTGGAAGCTATTATAGTCTTCATTGTTTCTCCTGAGTGCCTCAACAATACTTATACCTTCCACGAGTTTCTAGAAGTGGTCTCTGTTTCGATGATCCTATCGCGACTTGGGGACTTGAGGCGATTTACAAGGGTTTGTCCTTAACAATGAATATTTTTATAACTAATCCTTCTGCGTTTACCTTCATTCTTAATGTAAGATTTATAAGATTAATTAGATGGAAACAATGAAGTCTTAGCGGCCTTTCTATTGAACTTTAAGCCTTGAATTACAGATTTAAGCCTTAAAAATCAGAACTGAAATAATATTCTCATACGTTTCGATATATATTTTTTATTCTCCTGTACCTCGCCGTTTAAGCTACTCGGGTTTTTATGTTGCCGAGGGGAAGACTCATAGGATTAATGTCAGAGTTAAATATCCCCGACACCGGGGCTCAAACTCATCGGATCTTGAGCTTATCAGGTTTCCCCGAAACGCGTGTACTGCAAATGTGATAGCTCACTTTGTCGCTCAATTTGTTTTGATTGACTAATGTTCTAACTCTCAGATTTCTTGTTATTCATGTAATTTTTTTATTTTATATTGTTATGGTACGTTCATTATCTTGGGTTAGTTCTTTAGTTATATTCTTTTTATAAATATTTGTTTACAATAACATTGAACGCATGTATCCATCAGCAGGATTTTCAGCGACATTTCCTTCGTAAATGCTACAGGCTTCTCCATTATGTAATCTTAAACTACTCAGTTTCGTCATTTCGTTGTACACAAGTACCCAGTTTGAGTTTTATTACTTTTGAAATACCGTTACAGAGTGTACAAATAACTGTCCTGTCTGAACAGCAAGGAATTTAATCAATACTTCGATGGAAGTAATTATTAATCGTTAATCATCAAGTGAAGCAGTGATATACCAGTATTTCAAAAGTACAAAAAACTCAAATTCGGTGCTTACAATAGTGTGGTTAAGTGAGTAACAGTGTGGAGTTAGTGAGTTGTTCAAGATTACAAAATTGGGAAAGCATGTTTAACGTATCTACTAATAAATTTTCATCGACTATCATCTTTTATATATATATATATATATATATATATATATATATATATATAAAAAAAACCTGTACCACTACAACCCATGAAGGGTCTGGGGTTCAGTACTATTTAGGGAAAGCACTGTTTCTAGGTCAACGGTTGTGCAAGGAGGTGATTTGACCGAGATCACGCTCAACCGCCAGGTTTTCCCCCTTAATTAATTATTTAATTAAGGGTACCCACTTTATACAGGCTGGGTGTGCCCCAGGAGGGACTCCTGACCCAAGGTCGCTCCACGGCCAATGAAACAGATAAATAAATTATCTGCCATGAGCCGGGGTTCGAACTCGGGACCTTTGCATTGGAAGCTCAGTGATACATATATATATATATATATATTCATACCTTTATTTCCATGTGCCACAATCAAGAAATGTGTTATTAATTTATTTATTTTATTTTATGAGCTTTATTTTTTATGATTCAAATTGATTTAATTGAAAAATGTTCTATTTTTTTTTAAATATCATCTTCAGTTTTTAAACAAATTATTATCTTTTTATTATTAAGTAATTATTAGAATTAACACACATTTTACTTTTAGGAATCATATAATGTTTATACAAAATGTTTTGTAAGCAATCATTTACTTATAACACAAATTGTGTAAACTTTTTTAAAAATAATTTTCACTAGTTTTCTACCCGAGATTTAATTTTCTTATTCCGTAGTTCATCAGCGGAACCTCACAGTTGCGCATAATGCCTCCCTCCGCTATTTTCCTAAAAGCATTTACTTGTTTTAAGGAAATCTTTCAGCTATCCCAATGAAGTTATTTCAGGATACCCTGAACAAAGAGGGTAGCTCCGAGGAATAATTCAAAGAAGAGACCCGAGATAGCTTTTTTACTGGTAATTCTTAATTATTCCAGGATCGATTCTGAAACTTTTTAGCTTAATCAATTGATTTTGTACTTTTAATAGTTGGATCAGGGCCGAAATTTGATTAAAATCTCCCTAAAGTCCAAAAGATGGATTTAAAAACAATTATTAACTTACATAATTGCATATAAAGGAGCGCACGTCGGAATAAATCATAAAATCCATGGATACGCAAATGATATAGCTGCCCTTGGAACCAACCAAGAGGACATTGAGAAATTTGCTTAGATTCTCATTAGAGAAGCAAAACAGTCAGTAAACAAGTAAATCAAGAATATATGACAACAATCCGGAATTCAGCTAAATAGGATAGCAGGATATGCGAAGAAAAAAAATCGTTCCTGAAAGTAGACGGTTGGAAATATTAGAGCATATAACAAGCGAAGGCAGATCTTTCTTCTGTCTTTCTAAAGGTGTAAAATGATATTATAAAGCCAGTTCTGATATACGGATGCGATACCTGGACAAGAAACAAGCAACTTAGAAACAAAAATTGGAAGATTTGAGAAAAAAAATCCTCTGAACAATAACCGGAGAGATTTGGGATTTGAGTACTAAATCATGGAGGAGAAGGGCCAATAAAGAGCTGCTAAAAGAAACTGGTCAATCTATATCTCTTGATATAAAGAAAAGGAGATTAAGATGAGCTGAGCCATGGAGTACAGAATGCATTCTATTCTCTGTGATCGGAGCACAGAGCTCCGAGTAATCCATCAGGAATCCTCTACAAAACAATGAATGCCTCTTTAGCAGGGAAAAGATCATGAGGAAGCATAAAGAAAAGAACGGATAGATCGAATCAACAAAGACGCAGAGAACTAGAAAGGAGTATCCCAAAATATGAAGAGATAAAGAAGGGTGGTTAGAGTGGACATATGTTCAATAAGGTATACAATAGAAAAAAATATTTATCAATAATTTCTTTTTTATTATATAAAT